AAGATTAGCAGCCTTTTTTTTTCTTTTAAGAAAAAATTCTGTCTTTTAAGGTATATAATGTAGTGGTTTTAGGGTATTGACAAGGTTACGTAACCATCATTATCTAACTCCAGAACATTTTCATCAGCTCACCAAGAGCACTGGAGTAGCCTTACCTTGATTGACGTCACCGTATGTCACCAGCTGGCCTCTTACGGTACCGGGGGCCCACCTGGAGCTCTGCATCACTTCCACTGGTTCAGGGCTCTCTGGATTATTGGGGCAGCCCTGGGAGACCATGTGACACAGCACTAACTTGAGCGTACACTCTGGACTATTCTCCACACTCAGTTATGCATCTTCCTTGGAAGAGCTTGGCGGGCAGGGGTTAGGCTCAGGGGCCTCACCCACTCACATTCGTGCATGAACACCCCGGAGGCAGCCGAGAATGAATAGCAAGGAAGTTAGGGAGTCCTTTGTCATGAAGCCCAGAGTCACACCCCAAATGTGGCGGGTCCTTGGGGTCTGCCATGGCAGAAGGATCTGTCTTGTGGCCCAATAGTGGGCAAGGCTGTGGTTGCCATACCCGGAAGTAGGGCCCAGAGGGCATCTCTGGGTCATGGACCGAGCGCGAGCAACCCAGGAGCTCTGAGACGTGCACTGCACAGACTGCACTGGCGCCTGAGCCCTGCGTCTTCTAAGGACCCTTGAGGTCCCCACCACGGGACCTGAGAGGAGTGGTCATGGGAAAGGTCACCTCCAGCCTCAGATTCCAGCTTCCTGCTTCCAGTTGCTCTTGTCCACTCCCTGTCTTTGTTCTCTTCAATCTCGTCCTTTGAAGAATTTTCCGAGCACTGTTATAGCCATGCTCTCAGCAGCCCGCCACCCTCTGCAGACCCCTCCCCACTTCCTGGAGACAGCTCTCTGTCTCCATCCACAGCTCTCTCTCGAGATCCTTGTCCATCATCCTCTGCTTTTCTCCCCCAGGTTATCCTGAAGGATCTGGAGGTGTTGGCCGAAATTGCTTCCTCCCCTGCAGGCCAGACGGATGACCTAGGCCCCCTCGATGGCCCTGACCTCCGGGTCAGCCACTCAGAGCTTCAGGTGCCCACCCCTGGCAGAGCCAGCCTGCTGCCCACTCCCAGTAAGTATTCCCCGATGTGTCCAACCTCAGGGACCCTGGGAACATCAGTGCTTGGTCTCATGCTGGACTGGGGCTGTCCCCCTTGAGCTCTGGAGTTCTGCACAAGTGTGAGGGATTAGTGATCTGCCACTCTGCGAGAGGCAGGTGGCCCTTGCTGTCTCGCTGGCTCCTGGCTCACCCCGCAGGCCCCTCACCTCTGTGAGAAACCCTCACTTCCCCCTTTCCTCATCTTCCTGCGCTTTTTATTCTTTTGAGCCATTCTTTCCCTGGGGCAGTGTCTCCCCAGCCAAGAAGCAGGGGGCTTTGGAGTCAGATCTCACAGGTGGAAGACTAGGCAGCCATTTCCTTCCTTACCAAGAAGCTAAAAATAGCTCTCAACATGGCAGGCAGCCCAGGCAAGAGACAGCATAATTCAAACAGGATGTTTCTGGGCAGTCCTTGGCCACGAAGGTGGCCGTGGTGTTCCTGGTGGTCACCCTTTGGGCTCCATCTAGACATCAGGCAGCCCTTCTCCCAGGCAAGTACACTCCCAGCACCTCCCTCCCAGGCAGACGCCAGTTCCCTCCAACAGCAGCATCCTGGAAAATGCCCAGGGAGGCAAGTCAATAGGAGAAACCCCAGCGAATCTTGGGTGTTTGCCTGGGGTGTCTTTTTGCCCCCTGAGCGGCTCTCAACCTCCAGGCACAGGGCCCTACATAGCTCTTCCGCTAATGCAGAAGCCAAGCGTCAAATAGATTCGGGGCCCGTCAGCAGCAGCTTCCCCCTGCAGTCGCACCAGACTGGTCCCAGAGAACACCGGGGAGCACCCGCTCAGTGAGCCACCAAAGCCCTGCAGGCCTGGCCGCACCCCAGGCTGCGAGGTCGTCACAGAAGGCCCACGCACTGTGGACGGCTCCCCTGCGATACCTGAGTCAGCTCCATCCCGGCCCTTGCATGTAGGACCTCAGGCTTCAGGCCACCACCACTGCGCACACCCTGCCTGCAGCGGATCCCAAGTTTCCAGCCACGTCTGACCGAAGCAAGGAAGGAGTTAGGGGCTGTGGCGGCAGCCCAGCTTCCTTCTCGTTTCCCCAGGATGCGGTGGTTTCCTTGCCAGTGAGCCCAGCTTCCTGTGGGTAGTCAGAGGCCATAGTCAGGGAGGCTCCCACATCCTGACCCGGGACCCCTGCTGAGGTTCCCACCCTCTGTCCCATATGGGGGTCAAGCTGAAGTCTTCAGGCTGGATGACAGGACTCCCATAGGTCGAGTGTGGGGACAGGGCCCTCCATGAGAAGGGTGAGGAATAGAAGGCTCTTCCTTGAGGAAGGGAAGGCCTGAGGGGCAAGGACAGGGTGGCAGTGAGACCTGACTGGAAGAGGGGGCAGCAGCCAAGCCGAGGCCCCTGCAGAGCGCAGGCCAGCGCTCAGATCCCCTTTCGGAGCATCCCATGCTCCTCGGTGGCAGAAGCAGAAAGCTAAGGCGGCTCAGCCCCAGGCAGGGAAAGGACGCCTTGATCTCCCAGGACTGTGAGCTGTCCATCTAGAAGGTGGCTTTTCTCTTTCTTCTGGCATAGAGAAGTGAATGACTGAAATGCTTACTTGTTAATGGAAGGATGAGCCAGAAAAAATGGCCTCGGGCAGCCCAGGTCTGCTGGAGAGGGCGGAGTGCACCCTGGAGCTATAGGGCCTGGCCTTGCAGGAGCAAGCCTTTCAGCTGCTTGGGAACAAGGGCTGGGGGATAGTTGGATGGCAAAGCGCTCTGAACCCCCCAGCTCCCGGCCCCATCAAGGTGGGTGGGCCACTAACGAGCCTGAGGCAGTAAAGACTTGCCCCAGCTCACCAAGGCTGTCAGACTGGCTCATATCAGTCAGGGATTCACCCTGGATTTATAGAAAAACAACGAGTATGCCAGATGGTAAGAAATTCCATTCTGGAAAGAACACCAAGGAAGTGCCTCCAGCCAACAATGCTTTTTGCCTTAAGGATTCACAGCACCAAGGGCCACACACTCTTAGCCTGAGATTCATACGTGCATTTCAAGGAGTGTGGGAATCTTGCATGCATGTGCATCCACAGCTGGTACCAGATTTTTCAAACAGGTCTTTGCTTTTGAAAGGTCAAGGTCAAGCTCATGCCAGTAATAGAAGAGCATGGGAAGCCAGAAGTGGGCCCTAGCGGCCTTGGGGAGGGCACACACCGGGCACCAAGGTTGCTGAGGGTAGCTGCTAGGTCAGAAAACATGCAGAAAATATACACTCATTTCTCTGCAGGCTGTTCTTTGTCACATTGCTTCTCAGGCAGGTAGGCAGGCAAGGGGGTCATTCTGTCTGTCACCATCTGGCTGTACACACGGACGGCAGCCACAGGGCCAGACCCTCTTCCTGTTTGGATTCCGCTTTCCTCTGGCTCTCCAGGGCACAGCTCTGAGAGCTTGTGGACTGTAGCTCTACAACCCTTTAGGGCAGATCTCCCCACCCCACCCCTTTCTGGAAAGCCAAGGAGGCGGGAAGCCTGGCAAAGATGAAATCAGTGGCACTCGTTAGGAACTAAATGGCCCCACCTGCGTTTTGGTCTGTACACTCCAGTGGTGCAGACCGAGTGCAGCAGTGGGGTAGCTGCTGTGCTGGCCTAAATGTGCCACAGCAGCGGCCCCCGGGGCCCACAAGGCAGAGTTGCTCCCTGGGATTTTCCTCTGCCCTGCCCGAGCAGAAGCGTCCCTCCCTCCAGTGCAGAGCTGTGTGGACAGAGACGAGGGTGTCACTTCTCCCACACCTCCTCCATTCCTGACCTTTGCAGAGCCCCAGGCTAGGAAGAGAGCCACCTCTGGGAGAATCAGGAGGGGAGCCACCCGGGTGGGGTGCCTCTAGGGAAGCCAGTGAAGGGACACCACATTTCCCTGTCTCCCTAGATTGTAATTTGGTAAAATGAAACAAAACAACCATTCGAGTCTCCTGTGACTTGGCAACATGTGTGCCTTCTCTGCCTGTCTCACTCGGAGGAGTGTCAGCCGAGGCTCTGCCAGGCTCTGCAGAGGGAATGACGATCTCTCCTCCAGCAGACCCGAGGGGCCTGACCCTGAGCCTGGGACCAGTCCCCAGTCAGAGACGTGCCCGGCCCTCCTGGGGCTTGGACATCTCTGCCACAGGAGTGGGGGCAGCCTTAGCCAAGCACAGCAGCATCGTGGCAATCCAGGGCCAAAGGTGTCACCCAGGACTGACATTGGCCCCTAAACCCAGTCTTTCCTGTCCTTCCCTTCTGGCCACAGGGCCCATTCTTAGTGGAATAAAACTGCTTACATCAGGGCTCTCTGGTCCAAGGTGGAGTTTGACCCTAGCTCTAAAAACATGGGCAGAAGGGAAATGTTCTGATTCAGTTTCGTTCCTTATAGCCCAGGCTAGTGTAGCCAAATACAGAAAGAAGGTCCAGAAGAAAGCTAGAAAAGCCATCCCCGTCGAGCTCTTACTAGGACTGTAGCACCCCCCCCACGTCAGCTCGCCGAACCTCACTGTGGATTCGCTTGCGACATCTCTGAGAGGAGAGCAGCCTTGTCATTCCCACCTGGGGTGACGGATTGCAACAGGCGGTGGCGCTGACCCCGGAGCCGGCCTGAGCCTGCTCTCTCTCTTCATCCCCGCACTCAGAGGAGGGAGCACAGGTGGACCCCAGCCTCATCCAGCACTAGAAGTTTCTACCGCCCGAGCGGGGGAGCAGAGCTGTGGTTGTCAGTCCAGCAGTCTCCTCTGGTGCTGGGTTGGCACCCAGCCTGGCAGTCCTTGGGAGTGTCCCTCCTCTTCACAGTTTCTTCAGGGACCCCATTCTGGCCTCAGGACACCTCAACACCTCATTCCCTTCCCTTCTGCAGCCTTCACCCCCTCCAGCCACACCCGGCTGTTTCCCAGCCCCTAGAAGCCTTGCTGTGGCTCTTCCCACACACGCTCTCAGGCAGCGTAAAAGAGCACAGGCTCTGGGGTTGGAAAGGTCTAGATTCACGGCCCAGCTCTCTGCTCTGCCTGTCCTGTGACCTTGGTCAAGTGTCCTGCCTTGTACCGCCTCTCCTTCCTCTGTAAATTGGGTGATGGGGTGCTCGGAGGCTCTGTGAGCTCTTCCTGGAGGGGGCTAAGATGAATCCATGTGATGAGCTGCCTTTGCTTCTGTCCTTATTACAGAAGCTCACGCCTGCTTCAGGCCAGCTCAGACGGCCGGCCTCTGTGTGGCTTTCCAGAGGAGCCCAGGCCAGAGTCCTCTGCTGCCTCTGTTCGCCCACCCTGTTCCGCCCACCCGTCACTCTCTGCGTGCGTGCTGGAGTTCACATCTGGTTCCCTCCTGGCTGCGACCTCTTAGACCTTTACTGCTCAAGGTGCCGGTTATGCAGCCTCAGTGTCACCTAGAAGCTCCTCAGAAATGGGGACACTCAGGCCCACCCCAGACTCAGAATCGTACTTTATCAGGATCACCAAGTGACTTGTGTGCTCCTCACAGTCTGAGAAGTAGCAGCTCAGACCACAGGGGTCTGTTGTACTCATTCATCTCTGAGTCCCGGCATTAGGCGTTTTTCAGAGTCCATTATGATGACGTGCAGGAGGGGGCACCAGGGCGGATCACCCAGGCACCAGTGCCGGTCTGAGGCCCCCCAACACCACTGTCCGTTGCCAAATGGAGAGCCTCGCCCCCTCCAGCGCAGGCCCATCAGTGTTGATCAGCCCGAGGGCCCCTTCCTCGCCTCCCTCTCTCCAGCGCCACCCGTGGTCCCGGCTCCGCTCGCTCCCGCAGCGGCCGCAGCTCTGCTCGTGCAGCCCCTCTCCACTGCATGTCAGCTTCAGGCTCCTCTCGGGCCCTGCTCTGGCCCATGAGCCTGCCTCTTGCTCTGACCTGGGCAGCTGGAAAGCTTCCTGGATTTGGGTGGCTGCCTGGGGCAGAGGGCTCCCCATCCTAACAACCCTTCTGTCCACACAGTGGTGGGTTTTGGGCTCTGATTCAGCAGACTCCACAACCCCCCCGAGAGCCTGCTTCACAAGAGCCCCAGGCCTCCCTCTCTCCCAGAGAGGCTAGCCCCTCCCCACCTGTCCCCCTCGATTCCAGACCAGCCTCCCAATCACGCAGCCCCCCCTCAGAGCACTTCCTGTGCCAGGAACTGCAGCATTAAGTTCCTTATCCCTGTGAGGCTCACAGACAGGAACTGCCACCCTGGAGAAGGTGTCACTTCCTCAAGACTGCCCTACCAGTTGGGGACAGGACCTGGATCTCGTCTGGGCCGTCTAGCCCTTCCCCCACATTCTCAGGACAGCCAGTCCAGATGCCTACTAGCGGGGCTGGCAGAGAGGTAGACAGGAGGTGGGAGCAGAGCAGAGACGCTGCTGGGCCTGGGCTGGGCAGCTAATGTTTTCCCATCTGGTTTTGTTGAACTGTAACTCACGTTGTGTATTGAGGCCGGAGCTATTTTTATCCTGACATGTGAGGCTCCTTCGCGTCATAGCCACAAAACTCAATCCAAAACATCCCAGGGAAGGTTGTTTGTGAAACGTTCTGCAGATTCTCATGTCGCCACATCAGGTTTCACTTAGTAACATCTGCAGGGCTGGCTCCCCGGCCGCCCACCCCAGCGGCCTGGTTTTGTGTACAGAGCGCTCCCGACAGCATCTGTCTGCCCCTGGGCCAGCGGCGGTCACGTGAGCTGCTTGCCAGAGCCCCCTTCTCCAAACCAGAAATGCGAGGCAAGCATCATTCGGCAGGACCGGTCCTCAGCAGGGCAGGAAGTGAAACTCTTGCTCTTCTCCGCCCCGTGAAGGATGCCTCTCTCCTGAGACCCATGTCGTTGCCTCCTGGGCCCCAGCCAGACAGCTGTGCATTGTCCCTTGTGGGGCTGGAAGACTATGTGCTGTCAGTAATGTCACCTGAGTAAAAGCCTCTTAGTCCTCGGCAAATCCTCAGCGCAGTGGAGGGCATGCCCTGAATCGGGACACTGGGCTCCTGTCCGAGCTCTGCCCGCTCCTAATGGGCCAGCAGCACCCGGCCCAGGGCCCCGCCGGCCGGCAGGAGAGCTCAGCAGTGTTGGCTTTTATCAGAGCTGCTGAGAAAGGAGGCCGGTTCCCAGCCATGCAGACGAGCAAGAGCCAGAAGTGGGTGAAGCGGCCTGGGGAGGAAGGCGCTGTTAGCGCCCCACGGGGAGGCGGCAGTTAGTTCAGTTGAGCGAGGCCTGTCATTCCCCGAAGTAGCTCTTGGAGTGAGTTTTCCTTCCGCCCCCCCTCCTCCTGCTGTGCACGCAGCCCTGCCCGACAGTCTGGTTCCATCTTAAGCCAGCTGGGCCTGAGGGCTCACAAGGTCGGAAGAGTGGCTAGTGGGCCACTGGGAGACAGGCTGGGAGAGTCGGGTAGGCTCTGCCCTGTCCACAGTGACCGCTGAGAGGGCCCCAGCCTTGGCAGCCCACCCAGGAAGTGTTGCTCTCCCCCCACCGGCAGAGGACTGTCCTGCCCCGACATGTCGTCTCCACCCACATGGGTCAGGATCTCATCGAACTTTACAAGGCTCCCGGCCTTGTCCTCTGGAGGGCAAAGGCCCCAGGACAGCTCCCCTGAAACTCACAGCACTCCGTCAGCCAGGCCCGAGGGAAGGTGCTGGAGTCCTGCTCTTTGTAGTCTTTAAATGGTGGGAGCATAGGGAGGGCGGAGCTAGAGGCTTTCTCGGCAACCATGGCACTGTGAGAACGTAAGTCACTTACGGTGGCTTCTTGCAGATATGACTGCCCTCCTCCCTCTGACTGACATCCCTCAGCTCCAGGGACCACCACGCAGGTCTGGACTTTTGAGAGATGCTTATGGGACTGTGGCTAAGCAGACCGGGGATGTGGCCAGGCTTTTTCTTCTGCCATCTTTGGCCAATCTCAACTGAGAGGTGGGCAGGTCTCCCTCCCTGATTGTGGGGTTGGTAGGGTCACAGGTGACCCCCTCTCTTCCTTCAAGCCTCCCTACCTCCCACCAGAACACTGAAATTTTCCCAGATCTGAAGTCTCCCCACTCAGAGACATTTCACACTATGCCCTAGACCTCAGTCATTCGTTCCAAAACTTAGAGAGCAGTTTGTCCCGTGCCAGTGGTTCGGGTTATGGTATGTTTGCTATTTAGTAGCCCCCATTTATTGAGCACAGACTGTGGTAAGCCTCAGGCCCAGTACACGTTTTATCTCGTTTAATAGGGGTACTTACCGCCCCTACTCTACAGATGAGGAAACTAAGGCTTAGAGAGGGTAAGACTTTCGCAGAGTTGCACAGCCAGTACGTGGTAGAACGAACATCTGATCTGAACCTAACTCAGATGGGTTCTCAAGCCGAGCTCTTAAATACCATGCTCAACGCTTCCCACTGCCCTAGGGGGCCAGAACCTCTGGCACCTCCCCAGTGTCTGCCCAAGATGCCTAGCCCCTGGGAATGGAGACCATGGCCCCAGATGGCCCCAGCCGGGGAGGATTTCTTTATGGTCATCCCTCGTGTTGTTCCCTTTGCCCATGGCTCTAGGCCTGGAAGCGGGGTGGTGTGAGGGTGCACACACAGAAGCCAGAAGGGGACTGGGACATGAGGAGCCATCACGAACAAGCATCCAGGAGAAGGCTACAGTAAGCTGGGTTCCAGTTCACATGTACTTCAGTGGGGCGGGGGGCTATGCCCTCTAGCAAGGCCACCATGGAGATAAGCAAATTCATATCCTCAGTGTGGGGTCAATGAGGAGAGGCCCAAGAGGCAGCAGGACTGCCTCGACAGCTGTATCTGCAGCAGCTAGAGATCACCTCCAGCTGGGCCTGGGGTAACTTGATCTGTAAGAATGTGACACTTGATTCTGCAAACAGCCCCTCTGGGCCAAGGAGCAGAGACTGTTTGCCATTCCAGAGTCACTCAGGACCTCCTGGGCCAGGTTGTTCCAGGCAAGAACCCAGAGCAACACACTGCAAACAACAATAGTTCAGTGAGGCCTGCCCTTGAACTAGGCTTCTCACTCAAGGCTCAGCCCTTGCATGGGGCATGGGGGCTGCCTAGGAGGTTCTCAGGAGAGAGGACAGCAGTTCGAAGGTGAGATCCCTCATAAAAAATCCTCATAGAGTAATTACAGCTGCCTTTTCCAGTTCCCACCCACGTCCCCATAAGGACCCTGCAAGGACATAAGGGAAGTCTGAGTTCAGCAAAAAGACCGCTCCCAGGAGGAGGCTTTACTGCTGCTTCCTGGACCCTGGCATCTAATGAAGTCGGCCCACGGGGGCTCCTCTGTAGGCTCGCTGGTACTCTGGGTGCTTCCTTTCCACACATTCTTGTTTGGGGCTTTGGGCTTTGGGAGCTATATTTGATGGTGCTGGGAGCTATGTTCCCTTGCACAACCAAGCTTGACTCCCAGAGACCCCACACCCTGCCTGTTTCACACTGGTGTGTGGCCATCGTCCCCCTGGTCTGAGAAGGAAGTCAACAACTACTACAGGGGTCCTGGGCCAGAGAGGGACCAGCCAGGAAAAATGATGGCCCCAGATGCCCCTGTCAGCCACTCTTCTTCCAGTGTCGTCCCTGAATTGTACACTTCCAGTTAGAAATCCAGTAAGTTCTGGGGATCTAACCTACAACATGGTCACTATAGTTAATAATAGTATATTATGTGCTTGAAAGTTGCTAAGAGTAGATATTAAATGTTCTCACGACAGGAAAGGTAATTATGTGAGATGATGGAAGTATTAGATAATGCTGTGATTGTAATCATTTTGCAGTCTATGAGTATCAAATCAACATATGCTCCTTAAACTTACATAATATTATATGTCAATTACATCTCAATAAAGCTGCAAAAAAATTAAAATGTAAAAACATCTACGAGGGTTAAAAAAAACCATCATGTTATACCGAGACAACTGGCTGTCCGTCCACATGCAAGAGAATGAATTTAACTCCTTTCTCACACCACATACAAAAATTTTAATGGATTAGAGACCTAAATGTAAGAGCTTAAAAAAAAAAATTCTTAGAAGAAAGCATATCAGTAAATCTTTCTGACCTTGTATTTGGTAATAATTTCTTAGATATGACACCAAAAGCACAAAGAACCAAAGAAAAAATAAATTGGACTTAATTAAAATTAAAAATTTTGTGCTTCAAAAGATATCATTAGGAAAGTGAAAAGACAGCCCACAGAATGGGAGAAAATGTTTGCAGATCATATGTCTGACAAGAAGCTCATATCCGATTATGTAGAGAACTCTTACAACTCAACAATGAAAAGACAATAACCCAATTTAAAAATGGGCACAGGATTTGAATAGAGACTTCTCCAAAGAAGATAAATATCCAATAAGCACATGAAAAAGATGTTCAACATCATTAATCATTAGAGAAATGCAAATCAAACCCATGAGATACTACTTCCCATTAACTAGGAGGGCTCTAATCAAAAAGAGCTGAGTAGCAGCAAGGGCGTGGAGACACTGGAACCCTCGTACATGGCCGGTAGGAATATAAAATGATGCAACCAGTATGGAAAACTGGCAGTTCCTCGGAGGTTTAAACAAATTCTTCTCCTGGTTATATAACCAAGAGAAATGAAAACATGTTCACACAAAACCTTATATATGAATGTTCATAACAGCATTATTCTTAAAAGCCAAAAAGTAGAAACAACCAAATGTCCACCAACTGATAGATAAAAATAATATATCCATACAGTGGAATATTACTCAGCCATAAAAAGAAATACAGGACTGACACACACCACAACATGGATGAACCTTGAAAGTATGCTAGGTTAAAGAAGCTGCATACTATATGATTCCATTTATGTGAAATGTCCAGAGTAAGTAAATCCATAGAGATCATAGATTTATTTATGGTTGCCAGTGGCTAGTGGATAGGAGAATGGAGAATGACAGCTAATGGGAATGAGGTTTCTTTTTTGAGTGAAGAAAAATGCTCTGGAATTGTGATGGGTGCATAACTTTGTGAATATGCTGAAAAACACTGAATCATACACTTTAAAAGGTTAAACTCTATGGTATGTGAATTGTATCTAAATTAAGCTTTTTTTAATGCCCTATTAATGTTTCGAGCAGGCAGAGTGAGGATTCCTGCTGTTGCTAACACCTTTTTGCAGCAGTGCTGTCGAGGTCCGCACATGCTGGAAAGGGGGAGGAAACCCATGGCGTGCGTGAATACCCTGCATCGGGATCATCCGGGCATTCCGTCAGCCCTGTCCTGGTCCCCACCGCACCCCCATGCTAGATGCCTTGCAGAGGTGGAAGTGTGCCGGGGGGAGGGGAGCAGGAGCTGCGTCTGGGCCTCTGTTTCCAGCTGGGGCACATCAGAGGGAGATCTCCAGTGTGCTTCTGTTTCTAAAGCCACCTCAGGGCTTGGAAAGTTTTTAGAGAGACCATAAAAGAGCATCTTTGCCTGAAGATGAGGGAGAATGTCTGATTTCAAAACACTAAGATTGAAACTCTTGGTAATATTCTGTCCGTGTGTGCTGTCTTTAGTGGATACGGGTATGATTTACTTAAATTGGGAAAAGAGTGTGGCTTTTGCCTCAGGTTCGTTGGTTTTGTTAACCATCGAGATGGTGTACCTGTCTAACCTCCCCCCCTTTTTTTTTCTTTGACTTGTCGTTTGTTAAAGTAAAAGCTTGTTTTTTAAAATTTTCATAGCACCAGGCAGGGAATCTTACACTTAGGAGGTGTCCACTCATCGGGGAGCGGCTGGGGGAGGAGGATGGACAGGTAGATGCGTATGTTTACAGTGAGCCGGATTACATTTGCCTGTACGTACTTACATAGTCCTTGCCTTTTTGCTGTCAACCTGTGGCCCTTGATTAAAGATGTCCCCTCATCTTGTCACACACAGACCCCGCCTCCACCAGCTTTTTGGCATTCACAGTTGTTGATGCTCTGGGGGGGTCCCAGCGCCCTGTGGCCACAGAC